CACACACACACACACACACACACACACACACACACACACACACACACGAACACAGTGAAAACAATACCAGCCACACGCTGTCACAGCTGGTAGATACTAAAAGACAGACTAAGATTGAAAAACTACTGTTGGAAATTTGCAATTAAAAGCCACTAAGTATCATTAGCTGCGTAGCTAAAAAAAATATCAGCCTAATTTTCAGGAATTTAATCAAACAATTAAATCGTACGAAGTCCTGTTCAAGTTTGTTATTTTACAAATAATGAAAACTGCTCGGAAATACAACATATTCTATGACAAATGAATCATTCTATCAGTCCAAGTTTTACATATGAGAGGATTTGCTGCTCTTCTTTGTCATATGTGATAGTAAATTAAATATCTTTATGTTTTGGACTGTTGGCATCACTTCTATGACCACATAGACTTTCTGATATTTCATAAACTAAATGATTAATTAAGAAAATAATCAGCAGAACAATTGATAATGTAAATAATTATTAGTTAAAATTGAAATGTCCAAATGTGAAGGTGAATTGAATACCGATGGTACATTTCTGGGGACATTGATGGTTATTAAAAAGAACCTGCGGGTTTTGTTGCCCCACCAGAGTACTAAACAACTCCACCTGACTAAATATTTGCATAGGTCGGGACACCACTGTGCCTGAGCAGCAGGTGAGGTGTGTATGGATGCATTTTGGGAAAGACTGTGTACTTTGTGTTTGTGTGTGTTTACTGGTGGGGATGGGGATGATGGCAGGAGATGGGATGATGGAGGAGGACCAGGCTAGGACAAGCCTAATTAATGTTTCAGATGGACTGTGGCACTGGGCTGCTTTGAGGAGGCTTTCAGTGAGTTGCTCGACTTCCCAAGCTGCTTAATAATGGATAGAGAGTCCAGTGTGGTCTCGGTCAGCTAGCCCTGCTACTAGTCTAGACAGTGTTCCAAAGGCCACAGTCCGTTAACTAAGTTAATTATCCAAGGAAAGGCACTGGCAGAAAGAAGCTGTGCGAACACATCGATTCATACCATACCATGCACACTCACGATAACTTAATATGAGCAGCCTGCACACTCGCGTTAACTCAGCTGATCAATTAGAATCTTTTTTTGTGACAACAACACCAAGTGTGATTAAACTAATCATAAGGTCATTTCATTGATGCCCATCTTTAACAGCTTCTCATTACCTCCATGTTGGCTTAGTCATCTAACACCTGATTCGGTCCAAAATTTCCCCCTCTCCTCTTCTTCCCTCGCTCATTCACTTCACTCCCCAGGGTGGAGAAGGGGGACAGATTAAGGGTTTGGAGGCCAGACCAGAGAGGGACAGGCGGACTGCTCCCACCACAGCTGACATCTGCTAGTTAGCCATTCTACCTTTCTTGACTAGGCCAAGGCCGCTGTGCACTGAGCACATAGGCTTGGAGCCAGAGCATGTTGTGGCAACACAGCTGTTCAGAAAGTTAAGCATCAACCTCTATCTTTGTATAAAGGATCAGACACAATGCAGCTTCCATGTTGTTAAGAATGGGGACTATAAGGAAGTAGGGTGTCTTAAGAGTAGGCGAGACAAAACATTTGAGCAGAAAGTCTCAGATGGCTATTCTGGTGAGTGTGCGTCTATGGTCGACTGTCTGGGGGAGGGCTGTGGTTTGCCATATGCCTCAGCAGATGACTCCTCCTTCACACTGAGAGGCCAGACTGTACACAGACGCATGCACGCGGACTCATACACCGACCCACCCCTCCACACAAACACAGCCAGAAATACACACAACTACAAGGAGAGATATTTTGTAAGAGAATAAAATACATACACAGGCAAACACTGTCATTGTGTACAGCTTCAAGTAATTAAAAGGCCAAACAAACAAACTTAGAGTCCTTTGAATGAAGTGTGCACTCGACTGGGTCTGTTGGGGGAGCGATGCGTGAGGAAGAGGCCCCTGCGCAGGCCTGAGTCATACCAGGGTGACACTGGACCACAGGGTCAAGAGGAGGCCCCACTACAAAAGACTTCAAACTTTGTTCCCATTTAATGAACAAGACAAAGAAAAAGCACATGGGCCAAACATCAACCCACGCACAAAAAATCCTAACTGTCCATTGTATGTAAAATCAAGTCGATTCAACTTTATTTATCCCTCTGGCGGCCGGCAACTAAAGGAAGGTGGTTTCGGACACAACAGAGGAGCAAAGACAGAGAAAATAAAGCAGAACCTGCTGCGGTTATGACTTGTTAAGCTTGTATATCATGGTATTCTTGCATGACAAACTGGTCTTAACTAATTAAAGCTAGCATAAAAAGATATATCAGTCATAGATCAGGGTTACAGTTGCTAATCAGAGAAGTTGTATTCTAAGGGCATGCTGATGCTTATGAACTGTGCCGAGTTGTTCTCATGTGTCAAAAATGTTCTTACCTGGATGAGATGTGAAGGCAAAGTAACTACTGCAACTGATAGCGATGACCTCAGCAAAGCACGCAGTCCATAGAGAAAGGTAGTGAGGGCGTGGCCATTTTTAGGGTTGTCGTGGCAACTCAGGTCATCGCCCCACAGAGCCGAGCCGAGAGAGTGAAGCCCAATTCGCAGAATGTTACGCGACTTTGACTATAAGAAAGAACAAGCAAAAAGAAGGGTTCAGGAATATTAAAAATGTGTAAAAAGTCATATAAATATGCCATTTTCTACAGAAGTAAACATGCTAATGCATTAATACAGTTTTATTTGATTTAAAGTTCTCCCATTGCATCTTAAGAACAACAGATTGCTGCTTTTGCATTATTTTGGAAAGGTGCTGTTTTGGGTAGTATTCCCAAACTCTGGGAGAGAGCGACCGGACAGTCTGCTCACCAGCACAGACGATCGGAACACAGTGCCCAAACGTGACTGGACACAACTGCCCAATCACAGAGGCCATCTGACACACGCACAATGGACCTGTCAGACAGGCTTCCAATATGGCCGCCACCCAGAAACCCCAGCACATTCTTGGCACAACAGCGATGCTCTGCAGCCAAGGGGGCCTGGGTAAGGGTGGAGTGCCTTCCCTTGAAACACCCTCCCCACCACAAGAGATCAACAGTAACCCACTCTCACGAAGACGGAGGAAAAGTGGCCAAACAGTGGTGGGGTATATATCACTGAAACTGAGAGAATGGAGGCGCCTGTCCAAACTGTGAGAGGTTTTTAACCTTTACTACAATTGCCTTTTATTTGGGGTTTCTTCAGGATGGCTCCTGATTACTGAGGTGAGCGCCAAGAGTGATTACTAAAGCTCTGGCCTAAAATCGGCTCACATTTTCCCTTTTTTTCCTCTCTTTTATCCCTCCCCCTCTATGATCTCAACCCTCCTAAAATCTCCTATGCCCCACTCCCTATCCCTTCCTCTCCCAACGGTATGACCTAAGCTTCAGTTGGACCTGGATCAGAATCACAGGCATCTAAGAAAAATAAACCCCATTGTTTCTGGGAGTTTTTCCACAGTTGGCTCATAGTTTCCCAAAGGAGGACTCTCACACCGGACTCTACATTCATCCTCCTCTACACCATTCAACATTAGTGCTGCATCTCTATGCCTTACTATGCTTAGTGTTGTGAGTGTGTGTGTGTGTGTGTGTGCCTTTGTCATTATTAGATATGCCCTTTCTTTGTTTAACATGCTTTGCCGAACACAGGTCTTGGGGGCCACAGAATTAGAATTCTATTTCTATGTCTGTGGCCCAGCGGGGGGTGGGGGGGGGGGGTCTGTGGTAACACGACTGTTGCTGTGGCATCAGGAGAAGAAGCCAAACTTAACTCCTATAGTTTAGCCTATAGAAAAATCAGGGAACAGTGCCAGTTGAGTCCAGCCAAGGGCCAGAGGCCAGCCTTATAGACTATAGCCAGCCTGGGACAACAACCTAATCACAAGCCAATCTCTGCCGAGACTCACAGTCCTGCTGCCACTCCTGTCCCAGCCATCTCAAAAAACACGGGGTCTAGGAGATTGATCATTGTTCTAATCTGTTATTTACACAACACAGTTTATATGAAATCTGCATCTTGTTACCAATCCATGACGGCGGATTAACCAATAAACATATAAACGCACACACTGACTATCACCCATACTGGGCATTCTTGTGCCAGTGCCCATGTCGCTCAGTGCCGGTCTGCATTCCTGGACTGTGCCAACAGCATGTCAGGCGGCCACACTGCTTTAATGATGTCAGCAGTTAATCTGCTGTGAGTGACGGCACTCGGGGAGAGAGGGTGGGGGGTAGTGGAGGTAAATCCTGTGTGTGAGTGACAGGGGGAGAGGTGGCTCCAGGTGACGAGCAGAGGGGTCACCGAAAGTAGGTGAATAAGGCGTGGGAGGCGAGTAGAGTACACACACACCGTCATACTGTATCTATATATATATATATATAGAACAGTATGACAGTATATGTATACAGGCACATCACAGTGTGTGGTACGTCCTGTGGGAAACAGACGGGGCCATGGATGATTCTGGCATTCTGTGGGGCACTGGTGACTATTAAAAAAATGTATGTCAAAGGTAAGACACACACAGCTGGGACACACAGGTGAGGCCAACCAGAGCAGGTGACAGAGAGGTAAACAGACTCAAGAGAAGTGGAGGTTGAAATGTGACAGAAGAGCTTGGGGTCACAGATTCAGATCTATTATCTCTATCTTAAAAATGCTCCTTTGATGAATATCACTCATAACAATGCACAATAGCCTGACTGGGCTCATGGTAATTAGTGGGGTTACAAGCAGACATTTGCAACACAAACATGTTAGCAGCTGGAAGTCAAAGAATTCCTCTTGAATGGCATTTTTAGAAAGAAAGGAAAAAATGCACACCTGTGTTGAATCACTGCTAGTGGCAGCTTACTGCCTGCCTATTCAATTTCACCAATGATTTTTTAATCAGAAAGCAAAAACCAAAAGCACATCCACAAACAATGATTAAAAATGTATGGATTTGATGATTGGTGAAATGGGAGTTCATTCACGTCTTACCATGGGGGCTGCTACATCAAAACCCTCCCTGTTTATGACCTCTTGAAGTGACTTCAGCAACGCAGAGTAGGACTCAAGCATGGTACTGAAAAGAGCACAGGACAGAGGACAGTACAGTGGAGAAAGTGGAGAAGACAACCAGAAAGAGAACACAAAAGGGTTACTTAGGACGTGTAAAATGTAATGAAAGTATTTTGATGAAACTGGGCCAAGCCTTTCCCCACAGAAGCTTAATCCTCTATGACTGCAGCATGTTTCTCCTGACTGTGCTTTTCTGGAGCCACTGAAGCAGACAGATGATCCATATCAAGAGATCCAATTAATTTATTTGGTTGATTAAATTACAACATGACTGGTTCTCCGTCAGCTCCCCCAGGATCTGATTGTGCCGAGACAGACAGACAAACAGACAGATGAGATGTGCATATGCACAAACAGACACACAACAAAGACGATAAGTGAGAAGGAGGGGGGGGGGGGGGGATTAATGGGCTGATATCTAGAATTTACAAGGAACAGCATTTTTGAGTTTAATCAGGGGTAAGATGTGCACTATTGACAAAAGGCATCCAGTTCCATCGGAGCAACATTTAGCAACAGTCAAGGGATGGGTTACTGCTGAGCCCATCATGCACCTATAGGACGGCCAATAGAAATGTTAACCCCATCATTTTACACAAGTCCCTCAACTTAAGAACGCCCCGCCATTGTAATGACCACTCTGTGGTAAGTCACAGTGGGCTGCTATGCCAGTTGTCAATTTCACCTGCAGGCTACAAAAGCTGATACACATAGATTGGTCACACACCAATAGCCCTGCATAAAGAACAGTAATACGTACTCGTGTTGATTACACTTGCGCCAAGTACATCCATGTACTCTATTTCAGTTATTCAGCCCAACAATGGTGCCTCCTGACCCCGCTGGGGCTAATGATAGAGCTGGTTTGGTGAAAGAGGGACACCTACCCTCCTTGGCCTGTCTGCCCATGCCCTTGCTCTGAGGTAGGGGGCTGGGATGGTTTGACATGCAGTTGAGCAGGAGGTTGCCTCTGGTTGGCAGCCATTGTGTGGGACGGCATTGTGTTTTAGCTACCCCTACTGAGCACCCCTCATTCAGGTACCAAAAGGTCTAGGTGCTTAGCTACAGGGGCTAGTGCGTCGGCTAATTAAGATCATACACAGGGAAGCTTCTTTATCTCGGTGTTCCTCTTTCAGTGATGGAAGAAAGGAGGAGAGAAGGGGGATGCTTGGTCTTAAACAACAGGATCTGTATCACCTAGAGAGCAATTTGTGCCAATTATGCCTTCAAGTGAAACGGAGCAATTTAACAGCTAGGGTATCAACATGGGGCTGTGGACACGTGCAAGGGGGAGTAGCCTGCTTCGGAGTTTGTGTGGTACATGTGCGTGTGTAATATGCTAAGTGTGTGTGTGTGTGTGTCCGCATTTATGTATGTGTGTCAGTATTGGGGCGGGGCTGGGGGGCACAATGGTGCAGTGCAGGTGTAGTTTCCTGCTGTCAAAATGTCTTTGAGATCTATAACCCATTCAGATGCCACAGCGGCACAACAGTTCCACCATGTCACTCTTACTCACTACACTGACACACAACGCGGAGAGGATATTTGATTATTTTGTTTGTATCCTATCAATAAGGCATTATTACCTTCTGAACTGATATTTTGAAAAATGATCCACGCTTGTGAAAATGTGTACTTTGAACCGAATATCCACAACATGTAATGTGTTTGCATGGGCGCTCTGTTAAACAGTCTCTGTTTATTGAAATAAAGGAAGAGGCATTCAATAAAGCCTCCTCCACATCCTCTGTGCTCCAGATTGCTGTATTTACCCAGTGTGTGTGAGTGTGCCTTCGTGTGCCCTTGTTTGTTCAACAGCACTCTCTGAGTAAAGAGCCCGTGTGACCTCTGAACCCTAAATACACTCAACGCAGGAGAAATCAAACAGACGCTGAGCAAACAAGACCCTTATTTGAATAGACATACACAACCTTTCCAAGAGGCCGAATGTCTTAGGCCAATGGCAAGCTACTCAGAATAGAGGATGAACCAAGCTGCTTTTTAACTGATTTAAATTGATTGTTTAAAGAGTAAAAAAAACTGAGCTTTTAAAAGATTTGTTTTTTTTTAGAAAACTCACATCATTCATTTAAATGATGTATCAAATTGTGGATGGTTTGACTTCAACAGTAATGATTCATAATTTTTACAGATATGAAGCAATTCAATGAATCTCAGTAAAAACATGAATGTAAAACTAAGATCGTGTACTGCACTTAATTAGAGCTGAAACTGTTAATTGATCGATCAGCTGATCAACAGAAAATGAATCAGCAACTATTTGAATACATCTTTAATCAGAAATGTCACACATTATCTGGTTCCAGCTGTGTTTTTTGGACTGCTCTTCACACAAAACAAAACATCTGAATGTGTTAACTTGGGCTCTCGTTTCTTGTGGTTTTACTATTTCTGACATTTTATCGAAAAAACAAAACAATGAATACAGAAACATAAAAAGATGAACTCGTAATGAATATTTGGTTGCAGCTATAATATTTATTCGTATAAATGAGTGACTCTACATGATACTAGGGAGCTAGTTTCTTCCTCTCATGTTGACTTCTCTCTAATGCACATGCTGGTTGCAGGCCTTATAAAGTGTGCGCTCTTTAAATTATGTTAGTCCGTCTGCATTGTTGGTTTACCTGTATTCTGTGAACAATGCCATGTTTGCTTTCCTGTGTTCTGTTGAAGATGTCTAATTTGTGTAACTGTGTTTTGTGGATGATGTCGTGTTTGTGTGCCTGTGTTCTGCAGATGGAGTCTCATTGGTTTCCATGCGTTCTGTGAATGATGTCTTGTCGCTTTACCTGTGTGTTGGTGATGACTGGGTGGGATGTTCTGGAAGATAGAAGTGGTGGCACTTGGCTGCCTGGCGAATTTCTGGCTCCATCGTCTTGGAGACATCATAGTAGTGCCCAAACCGGGATGAGGATGCCAGGGCACTCTAAGGAGGTCAACAATCAAACTCAGCTTAAAGCATTTGAGCACCAAAGACCTTTAATTAGAGAGCATCCCGATATGACGCTACTGCTTGCTTTACATTTCTTACAACAAATGATGTGCATTTAACTCAATTCAGATAAGAATAAAGCATCTTTCTAATATGTTAAATGAGCATGCTTCACAATACTATGGCAATGCAATTGCATTGTTTATGGGTCATTCCTCAACATTCCTACAGCAGAGAAGTTAAATAACCACTACGACCACGCTCTTAATCATTTCTTCACATAAATGTCCACTTCTGGCTCTGAAAGCAAATGTGTCAGGGACGCAGGGGAAGGCGGATGTTTTCCTGCAGCTGAAAGAGGGAGTTTTAGCTCTTCTCTCTCAGTGAAACCAGGGATTCCATTGTTAGAGGGGCCCTTAATCTACTCCTAATCTGGATTAAGGCCCCCGGTGTGTCCCTCTCCTGGCGGGACGAGGGGGTCAGCAGGGCAGGGGGGTCAGGGGCTCATCTTCTCTTTGTGAGCTAGGCAACCCGCTTAGCGTTCCATCCCCGCCCTGACGGCCTCACCTTTGATCTGATGTCTTCATCGGGAGAGTAACACAGTGGGCTATGCCAGGAGAGGTGTGTGTAAGGGGAAAGTAAGCGTTGACTCTGGGGGTGAATTTGGGATGCAAATCCTCTGGCGGGGCTTACTAGTGGTTTGTAAAGACGATTTTACAGGGGAAGGGGGAGAGATGAGGAAAGGACACAGATATAAAGAAGTTTCCAGGGAGAGAGAAAGAGAGAGAGGATCCCCAGGGACACACTGTGTGCTGTTAATCCACATAGCGATATGGATTATAGACTGAAGGGGGGAGACTGCAGAGAAGTAGAAGGGGAGGGTCACCTCTCCTCAAAGCGGAAGAAAGAGTGTAGGGCTGCCGACCCTAGCAGGGGGAAAGGCAGGGATTTGGGGAAGACAGAGGCGCAGGTCTGGGTCATAGGGTTGAGCGAGCAGACATGTCAATGCACAGGCTGCAAAGTACTCTTGTTTCCCAGGCTAAGCAGGGGTGCAGGCGTGTGTGTATGTGTGTATATGTGAGTTGGGGACCAGTGAAAAGCCTACCTATTGCCAGCTAAGTGTGAGTAATCTGGTCCAACTCTGAAAGGAGAGTCTGAGGCCTCATTCAGTCCACAAAGGAATTTAGAAGCTGATGGATTTAGTGGTAGAGACAATTGCCAAACCACTAAGACCAGAAAGCCAGTGCTGTTCTTTCTCATACAATCATTAACGAAGACAAATGTTGGAGTTTTGATAAAAGTAGCATTATTACAGAGTTGTCTTTATTCTGCTGTATGTCGTCGATCAAATATGCTGCAATAATTATTATTACAGACAATATGAACTAACATGTGATTACCTGTACTTTTGGAAGATGCTGATAGCGCCAGGCTATCTTCATGGCATCCAAACTGTCCTGAGGTTCACAAGACAGCCTGGGCTGCTCCACTGGTTTGTGGATGGCAATATCGTCCAAGATGGGAGCAGGTAGTTCCTACACAAAATAATACAATTTATATAATAACTTAAAATATGTTGATTGTAAATGGCCAAGAGGTATTTTAATAACCCTTATTGCTGTTTAATATCATATGGCATGTCCCAAATAATTGAAATGCACTTCAAATTCAAATATAGCTGTCAAAAGTAATATGATATCTTGAATGTAAAGAAAAAAGCAAAGTTGGTTTTGCTGGTCATGTTGAAGCACTTGAAAAAACCCAGATAAAGCTGGGAGATATTTCTCGGGGAATCTTGATTTCTTGGCCATATACAAAACTGAACAGGGGTTCTTACAAGAGCACATGTGCATTAAAAGTCTCCACACAGGAAAAGTATCACTGTGGCATTAGTGCGGAGGGATGAACGATCATGATAACGCCGTGTCCTTGTATCAAGTTAGATCCAAAGTCTGACTACAATTGGAAGTCAGTCAGTTTCTAAAGCTGAACATTAAGAAAACACTCTTACCAGCTTACTGATAAACAAGCCTGTTCTTTCACTGTGCAACCAGTAAAAAAAAAAAATCCAACAAAATGGAAACAAATCTTGCTCCTTTGGTTCAAAGACATTGTACGGTGGGTGGGAAGTCTGACCGATTAGCTGATTCAAGTCATCATGGGTTTTTAAGTGCAAGGAAGTGTTCTCAAATGTCCTGCTTTAACTTGATGTCTTCCAGCAAGCTTGTTTCTTGTGTGCATGTTAACGTAATGCATAAAGTACAACCTGAGCAGCCAAATATTAGCATACTGTGAATGTAGCTGTGAAAACAATAAATGATGTGATATATCCCCATTGGGACTCCCCGTCTCTTAATAAGCCTTTGATATGTAAAGAGAGGGTGAGGCTGTGACCCCTCCCACTATCAATCAGTGGGAGAGAGGCCCTCCTCCTGTATGCTGGGTGGCAGTCAGCTTCTGGGACTACGGTCCTCTTCACAGAGTGATGCATCGGGAAACATTTCAACAATGCCACAACCGTGCCACCCTCGACCTCTCAGATACCCCCGCTGACCCTGACACATCTTGGGGAAAGCTGTGCACCTTCAATACGTGCTAAATCACGGTCTGACCAGCGTGAACCGGGCTGAATACTGTACAGCGGGAGCCGATTGATTTATTGTGAGAAAAAAAAAAAAAAGACTTCTACAAGTAGGCAGAATATTCCCAACATCTTCAGTTGACTAAAGGTAAACAAAAGGTTTTTTTTAGATGTCTTTTTGACAGCGCAGCAGTTGTACAGGGTTGATGTTAAAGCAGATGTATTAAGGCCATCCTTGCTTCTTTGTGGATGGTTTGTCAAGACTTGCAGCTTGAACAAAAATCATACTTCGCAGTGAAACTAATTTCCTCCTTCAGAGCTTGCAAAATACGGCACCTCCTCTCATACCTGTAAGATGTCATCTGGGTTATCTTGAGCCGCCGCCACAAAAAGTTCATGTCGACACACCACTCCTTCTGCCAGGAAGTACTTCAAGATCATACGAGAGTAGCTATCATATCGGTCCTCCTCTAAAAAAGGAACAAAAGACAAGAACAATCAGAAATTGAGTGCGAGTGGAAAACAAAAATAAACACACACTCGGTCAATCAATGCCATTGTGCTAAAATTGTCTGAAAGGCCTAAGGAAAAGATTTAGTGATGAACATTTTCCCTAAGAAAAATATATCAACCATTGGATCTTGTCTTGTTCTGACCATTCATTCAGACACCACAGATCCAGAAGTTCACGACCACATCACAGTCGCTAACTGTAATTGATATAAGGACCACATTCGGGTTACCTTTGGTATGGAACAGATGAAGTAGCAATCGACATGGCACAGAAACATAGGTGTTACTGTGTGACCTGACTATCAAAGTGGAGCTGACATCTTCAGCTCTCTTGTTAAGGTCTTCACAGTGTCCCTGTCCACTTTCACCTATCATATCCGCAACCATGGGCGGAGAGAGAGGGAGGCACCTGTCTTAAGCACTCACCTGACACCTCCCCCTGAACACAAAGGTACCCCGGCTGTCAGGACAACTGACAAGAGGAGGCAGAAGCGGGATTATATAGTGCCTGTCCTCAAAATGCTCACCGACATCTGGTTCAATCTGCTGGCAATGGCATGCTTTCATTATTCTGTTTATACATCAGGTGTATTTATTATCATAAAATGGCATATAAAGGTTACATGAGAGACTTTTAAACACAAGTGGAAAGGGAAATCCTCAGCTGGTGGTGACATTACAGTCTCATTTAGATGAGTGTCTCCAACATTAAATGGACAGGCAAGTGATTCCAAACACTGACACCGTTTTCCCTAAGGTAGCCTTTCTCCGTGCACACAAAGCGGCCACCCGGCCATTCCCCACCCCAAATTCACAAGCATCATCACCAGGAACCCCCCCCCGTATCAAGGCGCATAACTCTACCCAGCATGCTGCTGCTGCTTCCTGTCACAATCATCATTTTGTAAAGATTTCGTAGGCCTCTCCATACAATGACAAACTGTGGGCTCAAGGACAAAGGCAGCAGTGACAGTTTAAGGTAATGGGCATACAGCTGACAGTTTGGGAATGACATCCTGACGTGTCATCCTGAATCATCCGGAGAATTCCCCCCTCCCACGTTCCCGGTCTATGGTCTCACCTACGGACTTAGGATGGCACAGGAAATTCCATGGCTCTTCAATTTGTTGTCGGTGGGGCTCCCTGTTCTCTTATTGATGGGTTTCTAGGTCAGCAGGCCTTTGTGGCTTTCAGCAGGCCCCACAAAGACTCCCAGATGGGCCCTCTCAAGATGGGGCCTATTGTGGCTGTGTTTCTATGGGAGCCTTACAAATGGAACCTCCAGGAGTCATTAGGCTGTTGAGGCGGGGGGTAAGGGAGGGGGTGGGAGGTGGGGGGGTATACGAGCAACAGGGGGTGGAGGACGGTCATATCTTTGAGGGAGATCAATCACTCTGGACAGTCATGGCATGATTTTTTTCTTCTCCTTTTTATTTTATGGGATTGGGACTGAGGTTTGGTAAAGAGGGGAAACGCCTTTGTTTCATTTGCCCTCAAACAGGGGAGTGTGAGTGTCCTGAATCATATCTGCTAAACCCGGAGGGGGAGGAGACTAAATATCTAGGTCAGGGTGTTTTCCCCCTTGTATGAATCTCTGGTCTTAAGCATTTCTACTGAGCAGCTCAAATTCATTTAGGGCATACGGCAGGTACACTAAATATGGACACTTAAAAAAAGCACTTGAACTGAATCACTGTACATTTTACTACAAAGGTGGGTTGTATTAGGCTACCGTTAAATGCCAATTAGCAACATCTGTCGGGCCCCATATACTGTATATGCCATTTCTATTGTTAAGCTTCAACTTGTGACCGTTGTTCCTCTTAATCAATTCAATTTGTCTGTCTTAGGCACATGGTGTTAGGATTTTTTTAGATTGTTTACCAATTGACACATTAAAAACTGCAGTTTCTAAACAGATGACTTGACGTCTTTGGAGCTGTTCGGTGTTTAATATACAAGTTACAGCTGAGAAATCCTGGTTATTATCATATTATTTTCTTCTTTTATAATTGTTGCAGTTCTTCATTGATTTCACAAACATTTTATTGTATTCTGTATTGCATGTATAATATTAGCAATTGTTATGTCTTTATTGTCTTAATATCTTTTTATTGTTTGTATCTTTTGTGTTTTTAAGCTGCCTTGCAGCCAAATGTATGTCCTCTTGTGGGACAATAAAGATCTGAACTGAACAAATTGTCATGGAACTTAATATAAGCTATAGAAAAGTATGTAACTGTGATTAAATAACTTCAGGGTTGTTTTTTCATCGAATGTTGCCATACATTGTCACTGCATCTCCTGTAGTTATACTATTATGCCTATTTAGTTTGACAGAGTAATAATTGTGATGAACTACTCAAAATATTTGTTGCGGTAATCTACACAAATACTAAACCTGAGCTGAAATCTAAGATAACTCTCACTCAAAGTGCACTTTAAAGCTTTGAAAAATGTAAACATGTAAAACAATTAAATAGTCATTACTATGGGTACATTAAAAGGAAACACACATTCACTTAAACTAATGAAAACCTGACATGATCAGCATAATAAAAGCTGGAAAGCTTTATTCCTTCTATTACAGAAACACAAGGGACGAGAGATCTTCAGACAGCAGCCATACTGAGCTGATCCCCCTCGAGTTGACAAATCAGGATGGACAGCTCAAGACACTTCAAAGGCAGACAACGACCAGTCTGATAATTTTATGTCTGTGTCTCACAAACAGGCCATCACAGCTAAAGGGGCAGACTGTAGGAGACGACTGCCTGAAACAAACACAAACAAACACCACCCACACAACAAAACAGACACACAAACAGCACAGTGCACACACTCACACACACACCACTCTTTCATAGACAAACACAAGAGAGCTCACACACGCATTTCACCTTTACTGTGTCTCTCATTACCAGATGAAACCAACCGTACATTGATTCCCAAAATGGAAGGGAAGAACGCATTAGTGTATAATCACTGACTCCTGCATCGATTGGGGGGGGGGGTGAATTAAAGGGCAAAGCAATATCATCAGTTGGTATAGGCCTTTGCTACACACAAATTACAGCTTCAAATGGGAAACAGGAATACCTTAACCTCACTGTCTACCATTTCATATAGCCTGGCCTATGATGAATGATAATAACAATAATAATACAGTGGAAGACATTTGCGTGCCTAGAAAACCCACTTGCTTTAAATGTACTTCCGAAAACTTCTATCAACACGTATGCAGATGAGCATATCAATTAATGATCACAGTGGACGTGCGAACACCTGGGATTATAACTAGAGACCTTCAGGTCATTCGTCTATTTGCCATTCTGCTAGACGCTGACACGCTAACCACAAAGATCCGGAGAGGACAGACAGACAGTATCATTAGCTGTGGCATGCTACTGAATTCAGCTTTGGTATACGCATGAATATATAATATATGTTTGATTTCAGCGACGGGTTAATGCAGTGTCAGCTGAAGGCAATAATGAGTCAGAATAGAATATTCCTCTTCCTGGCTTAAAGCATTTCATATTATGCATGATGTATCTTTCTGAACACCAATACACTGACGTTCACAAAGCAACTTCTACTGACAGTTGTTCATTGCATCATTATATGTACTTCAGGAGGAGTCAACTGTTGCTGTGTACTGTTTACCATGGAGTCACATGCACTGTATTCACAATTCATATCTCAAGACTTAGGCATCTGATAACAAAGTAATAAATGACGAGCATAAGTAGTGGATATAGTTATAGTATCTGCTTATATAATATAATGCTATTAGGTATCACATGTGTAGTTGAACTTCCTGGAAAAATACCCCTCCTCAGTGGGGACTTCATGCTGCATTAGTGAGAGTAACACAAACGTCTGACCAATAAAGTCACTCATTTTTAACAATCGTAGCTTTTAAGCTGTTCTGTCCAATCACACCATATCTGTCTCAATAACTCTTATGTATATATATCACATTATGGAGGTCATTATTCCATTTAAGTCAAGTCAGAGGCTCACCTATGAGAAGTACTGTTCCAACTGCTAACCCGCCACCTGTTTGCAAAGACATACAAAAAAAAAAATTCAAATATCAGTTTTTTAAAATAACATCAGTCACATATTACAGACACTGTCTCACTCTGAATCAATGTCAACCACTCGAGACCTCCCTTTGCTCAAGTACGGCTTCACTCTCCAGTCTCCACAACTGTGTATTCATCTCTATAAGAAAACAGGCCTTTTTCACAGCAGGCATTGTGACTTACCTTAGAAGGAAAACAAGTGTTAATAAAAACAGTAATAAAGGCTGCTTTCTATTCAAGTGTCCCAGTGAGCCGTGACAATCAACACAATAGCAGTAGCTTGAAACTGAAGCTTTGTTGTTAACACCGGTGCTTTTGTGACATGTCAAAATATCTTCTGTTAAAAAGGCCAATTGGCGGACTGGATATCTGAAGAGGAGTCTCTCTCTCTCTCTTTGTTTTCACACTAGGTTTTGGCGAGAGCTTTATTAAGCTTGCTCAAATCTAAGACCCCTGGTAGACTAAGAACATTTCATGCCAGTCCTTGATTATTCTGGCTGCTTTAATCAACCAACACCGATTTTTTTTTAAAATCTTTTTTAATTGAACTCATAATGTTAGTGAGACTTGCTTGACCTTTAACCCGTGTGCCAGCGCATGAGAGTATATGGCTGTTAATCTCAGACAGCAGAGGTCTTGATAGGTTTGGGTTGAGAAAACAAGAAAAGTGAAACCTCCACTGGTGCCGCATCTGCAAAATTCAGTATAGTTACAACACAATTATGTAATAGAGAACAAGCATGAAATAGATCTTATAAAATGCTTTGCAGGTCAAATAAACAAGAAACCGGATATGACACGATTTTTTACATTTACACAAGTGAAATGATCAGTTCTACAAATAGCTTGCACCAGAAGAAAGTAGTGGCCCTTATCAGACAAAGGGACACAGAAATTAAATCCATTTCATGAGAATCTATCACAATTACTCAAAGATGCAAGATATACGTCTCTATTACAGGGGGGTGAAATGCCATACAATGTTGAATGAGACCTGGCATGGCTTTCAAACATGGCGGAGAATATAAAGACTCCCCATTCAAGCTTTGAGAGTGACGTCTGAATGTGGATGAGGAGAGGAAAAATCTGAGGTTGTTTTACCTCATTTTAAGTTTATCTATTTTTAGTTTATTTCCATTATAATCATTTAGAAACAACCAGTGAGTGACATTCCACATAACATATTTGAAGACACCACACGATCATACACTGCTGCATTCACACAGCTCGTAGCAAAGCAATTACGTCAAGTTGTGATACACAACTAATGTTAAGTTATGAATCATAACAACATGAAGACGTTATCATTCTGATATCGATTATGTGGATATTGACAGCCCTGGTACTGAAACACATGATGCCAATTCTATGAAGACATGTGATTTTATAATGATGATACATGGACATGCATATTAAACAGATTAAACAGGGATATACAATGTGTTTGGGGCTATTTTGGTCCTTGGCTTAAATCAAACAACATGCTTCATTTTTGGCATCAGCTTAATTGCACATCAACTTATTCACACAGCTCCAAGCAAATACTTTCCCGTGTGCTATGGACATTTCAATGTAAATAAAATCATAGTACGTGAATAGGTTTCGTACAGATTGCAGTGCACCGACAGTGACAAAACTCCATATTCTGTAATAATCACACATTTCCTCTTTGAGAAATGAATCACTGATTATCTAGTAAACCTATCGTTGAGATACACCGTTAGCCTGTGTAGCTGGCGCTAACGTGAAACCTCAACAGCACACTGACCGAGTAGATAGTCGAGTGACGTGACACCGGTCGACACTAAGAGTTGTCCATTTTGAACCGATGGTCTGGTGCCAGGTATGGAGATTAACTTGGTCCTCGTTTTCTTCTGAAAACTCGTAGAATTGAACGGCGATCGCTCAGCGAAGGGTTTCCCCACAGCGCTCATGGGGGCCGCCATACTGCTTGTAACGTGGGGGACGCCTGCTACTGTTTTGAAGCGCGTTGTCCAATCAGAGAAGACTTTGGTGGCGCTCGACCAATGAGGACAGCGATTGTTACGGGGCCGTGTGCGGAAGCTGTCACAATGAGTTTGTTGTGGTAGATGCACGGTTGGAGCATTGAATCACTCAGTTAGTAGGTGAGTAAAGCTAAAGTTGCTGGTATATCTTTATCCTGTTTACGTATATGTGAGCTTATGTGATCTTGCGATGGCCAGCAGCTATTCTGTGCCTACACGAGTCAATTAATGCATGTGTTTGTATCGCCATGACCTTGTTGGTTCATCGCATAACTTTATTGTAGAATCAGTCCCTTCGTTTACCATTACAGCTCATCTCTTGCTTAGCAACCAGAGTACAATTAACCAATATTAAAAGAGGTAATTGTTGCATGGCAGAGGAACAAGCTGTTTACAGGATGCATGGCATATCACGCCACAATACGACTTTTATCGTAGATGGAAGTGTGAAGCACATCGCCTACACGTGTGAATAGGGAACAATATGTTTAATAAGCAGGAATCCTCCGCACACTTAATTAATTCACTGCATAATAGATTGAAACAGTTTGTGACAAGGAGCATACAATCTGTTTTAACACACACACACACACACACACACACACACAGCAACGTGTAAAGGTGACATTACTCACACTATGTAGAGCAGCCATAACTGCGAGAAGAAATTTGACAATTTTTGACGAAATTTGACTTCACAATATTTCATATATATAACTATACATAAAGATATAATATATATACAAACATATTAAAACTATTGTATTTAACACAGCAAAAATAAAAGAAAATTACTACAGTATGACACATAACTTTTAAATTCAAAATGTAAAAAAACAGAAATGCTTTGTCCCAGTGCATTGCTGTCAAATGGCAAAGGGGTATATTGTGACGTTAGCCACAGTGTATCAAGAGACTATATCCCATAAGCTCCATTGATCAATTATGCCAGCTCTATTCTATTTTATTCTATTGTATTGCCTGTAAATGCATGACCTTTGTACAAACAAGATAAATGAATCTGTCAATCTACTAATTCACATCCTTAAGACAGGGTAGGTGTTCTGTAATAAATGGGTCATCAATTGCAGTTGTACAAGTGCATCAGCTTCATGTGCCTTTGCACATGGGATCAGCTGTATGTAAATTGCCATGTATGTCCATTTCTGGTTGTATAGTCTGTAGTCATTTTAATCTGACAGTGAATGTAAATGTGTAAGCCTGTGCCTCACTTCCCTGATCACATTGAATTTTAACTCAGCAGGTGTAAAGGCGAGAGGAGGAACGCGGTCCGTGCATGAAGTAGGAAGAGACTGCAGCTCAAGAATAGCTGTGGATAGACGTGGTGAGCACCAGCAGCTTCTGAATAACACTCTTAGTTTAAAAGTTGTGAGTTATCATACCAGGTTATTGATAACGCCAACATAGAGTATTCCTACCTAATCTGATCTAAACCAATTCGGCTAACCCGATGATGAACTGCTGCCTTTTTAAATGCATTCATGTTACTGGTAAGTTTTCCTCAAACACAGTATTAAAGTGGAGATTTTAAGATCCAGTTGTAGTCTTTTTGAAATGGGAAAAATCTGTTCAATTTTGAGCAATTTTCTATTTCAAATACACAACAAAGATATATTAGATTTTACCATTGTTAAACAAGTTGTATTTAAGTGCAGTCATATCATTTCATATAATGTTTGATATAGATTTTGAGTGGTGCACAATACATTCTGATATTTTGAACAATATTGATAATATATTTTGGATTTCATTTCACAAAGCTAAGTATTACAACAGTATCATCCATTTCAAATAATTGATCACATTGCGACTTCATTTAACATTTAAAAAAAATCTCATACTTTGAACTGGTATATGAGTTTACAAAAGAGGTTCGGCACTAAAATGTGTAATGTTTAAGTCGGCGCTCTGCTCAGCAGCTAATAGACATTTTTCATAGAACACATTTTGATGATGGATATTCATTAAGCTGCTTTGGTTACAGGGTCACTTTCTCACTGTCATGGAACACTTGAATAGAATGGAGGCATCCGTATTGTTAAGGAACACCTGTGATTTTCCGAATATGACAAGTCAAAATGTCTGCTGTCAGAAGGGCCTGCTGATGATGGAAACCTATCTCGTATATATATCAAGAACTCTGAATGTTCTGTCAGATCAGACAAACTGGCAGGGGAAAGGCCAGTTTCTATTGTACTGTATAATGTCCACTTATTATACTGGCTGCCTTATGAGTGATCAGTGTAATCCTTAAGACAGCTGTAAAAAAAGCTTTGTGAGGCAGAGAGAGGCCAGAGGCAACACACGATCACAGGACACTGTAAGGCTCCAGAGGAGGCAATAGCCCAACTGCTCACTTTACAAATGCTCTCAGCAGAGGCAGTCCTGCTGTTTTGACAGTACTGTTGAGATTTATATGTGCTGACAGGAGACCAGGGGAATATATCATGACTGACAACACTGGGCATTGTGGAAAGCCTATATGAGACAAATAAGATGTACTGCCTGACCTGCATCTCAGACGGAGGAGAGCCTGCTTCAGCAGTGACACGTGCAGGATGTAGGAGTACATTGTTGTGGAAACTTTTGTTCTCTAAAGTCACCTTATTTCCAATTGTCTCAAATCCCAATTTAACCTGTGGGCTCTGTAGCACAATTCAATCTGTGCAAGTGTAAATACAGAAACCTAATTGTACAAAAATAACATAATTTCCCCGCTTTTCAATGTGTCATCTGTACATGTTTTCCTGTCGTGTTTTTGTCAGTTTGATCAGTCTCTGTATCTGATTGAGCTATATAATGGCTGCAGTCATAACATGTCAGACCTTTCCTGGTCAGATTGTTTTGGTTTCTTCTGTGTAATTCTGCCATCAGTGTGGGACAGCAAGAAGCGGTACACTTCTCGTGTCCGGGGGATGCAAGATTATCATCAACGTGGACCATATTTATTTAGTTAGTGTTGAAAGTGAAGTTATATTCTAAGGGCACAACTACAATAAGGCTAGGATGGGTTTTGTACGCAGCTATTTTTGTCTGAAGATTGGACTTTTCCATTTTGTTCAACGTCCCATATTTTGAATAGCACTATTTTTAAATTCCTTTTTTGCTGATATGGCATGAAATACAACAAGCCATATTTAGCTTAAAAAATATATTTCATTTAGAATGAAAGTAAGTCACATTCATGAAAGTCATAGGTTTGCTTTTAGGTTGCGGTGTCTGTCATGAGCTAATGTTAAAATGTATCCGGCTTTGTCGGGAGCCGGCGACTGCAAAACACAAGCTCCTTTGTGAATCTGATACAACACCAGATAAGATCTCTCATATTCTCTCAGCACCAGGCCAGCACCACGCATTCGCTTGTGGTCAATACAATAAGGCTTAGCGGCTGATTTTTCCATTCTATGTAATTGGCTGGGGACTCTGTCAACCCACACTTCCTTTTCAATTCATAGCAGTTGTATTCATATCGCTTGGCTATTATTTGCTCTGGCTGACCCATTGATTGTAGGTTTAAACCCTCAGCTCTTCAAATAGTAACCTCGCTCAGCTGTTTCACGGCTATGTTGCTATTAGCAACAATGAAAAGAGCAATATGGAGATCACTTGCTTCAATTAAGCCTCTAATAGAAGGCAGACTTAGAAGAGATGGGGGCTGGACATAGTACTCTGTCACTGAGACTTTTACGTCTGTCACTCTCCATCCAGCCAGGTGTCTGTGTCTGAATTGGCAGGATTATCTCCGATTGGACTGATAGTTGAAACAGACCCCCCTGGTTGCCAAACCTCCTTTTTATAGATCACATTAAGATCAAATCAAGCTCTGCGCAACAGGACTAATGCCCCTCCTTCCTCTGCCTTCTGCTGCCCAGAGGAAGACATCAGAGGTGGGATCCGTCCCCTCTCTTGTGCCTGCTCCTCCAGACTCCCTTCCATCTGGGATCCTCAGGGAGAAAAAGAATATCTGACAAGGGGCTTGTAAGCCTCTTAGCCCCCCTGTTGCCCAGCTCTCTCTCAGCCCATGTTTTCCTAATTTAGTTGTGTAAGGAGTCCGCCGCAAGGCCCTTATATGCTGTTTCGATTGTGATTCTCTTTGTGGTTCTAATAGACTTGCCATGTTTATCAATTAACACTACTCAGCCAGTGGCAGGTTCAAACCTCTTGAGACCAGTAGCGGTAATTCCTTTTGGAATATTTCCTTATGGCGTCAATAATGTTTGTATAATCAGGTATCAATGTCAGTGTGCCGTTATTAACGTCCCCTTCGCTACATTGTCTTTTGTTTGCTGTTCCTACATTAAACGAGTTTCCACCTAAATAATATTTTTATGATACTCGGCAAACCGCAATGGAACTGACAGCATAACATTGGTCTGAAAAATGTAAAAAAAATGTCATGCTTATTTGAAGCCGGAAGTTTTTATAATCCAATTTGTTTTTACAGAAATATCAATGACATTGTTAATGGTGTCTTTACCTGTAAATCACATCCTTTGTGACATTTCATGTGTGTCGATGCATCTTGATACCACCATTCTTTATTATATGACAATTAGGCTTTTCACAAAAACTACTTTTGTTGGATGATATATTTCACCAGAAATATTTGCGATGGACGATATTATTGTCATCTTAAGACTATTTCTATGCCACTGATATAATGATAATGCAATAGCATAAGAATGCAAGTACACCCTTTCATAGAGCAGTGAACTTTTTATTACCTAAGAATATTCAGACATTGGAATTGGAATGTGAAAAAAATAATAAAATAAACCACACAACCAAAAAAATAAATGCATTTGATTTATAATGGGGAAACGCTGCTGTTTGTTCTGGCGTCATGTTGGCTAAAATGTTGGTGACATTCTTGTGTAAACAAACATGAATGTAAACACAATGGGCAATATCGAGGTCAGCTAAAATGATCACGGTCATGTCCATATATTTAAAGATAAGTCAATAACGTAATTATCGTTGCAGGCAATTTACTTAAACATGACAACATATCCAAGGTTAACTCTTTAGACACTATATCCATTTTCTCGTGGATGTGTCTGTCATAGCGACGCTCAGGAAGCCTCTTCATTCTACTCAATGCGGACGGCAGAAATACACTTCGTCCACATTTTATTTCTTGCAGTGTCGGAAATTGTACACATAAAGTGCTTTTGACAGCTTGATCGACACACTGATAGACATCCCCGTTATTGCTGCACTTTATGCTCAGAAGAAAAAAAAAATCATTCATCTACTTGTGATTGCTCTGCCCTGAGTGAACTGGCCTCCCTCAGTAAGAGGATCACAGAGTTAAACACACAATGAGGTGTTTCCATCCACAGCTATTCATTTGGGATCCCCCTCTTTGCCCCACTGTAGCGCTGTGCCACGGGAGGTCGGTGGTCACAGATGGTTCTGCAGAGAGGGCTGCGCTGACTTTCTTTGTTTTCCCATGAACATGTTTGGTGTGTAATCCTGGATTAACGGAGAGACTTTGAGTTAATTTACAGCTGTAATACAGCATTCAATTAATGTTGGCGCTCCCCAACACACACATGTGCTGGGTATTAGGGGCAAGAGATAGTGTTGGTTGCCTGGCTCTTTGCTCAGGGGAGTAAGAGGTATTAGAGATCCAATCAGAGGTCTCTGTGGACGTCCACCTCATTCTGAATCCCAAAGCTCATATACACTTTCTATGAAACACATAAGTAATGCTTTTGTCTGTGCACAGTCACACCACATGCGCACACACACAGGCACACACTATCAATGACAGAGGGTGCCTCAGAAAACCAGGCGGCTGCATATGGACTCTCTTGATATCAGTCACTGGCCGTGTGATCTTGTTATGCAAAGTCCCTTAATCCCTACCTATGATGAATGCAGGTCGAAATGGAGGGGGGATCTGAAACAGAGATATGAGGGCAGCTGTAAGGGAGGCTGTCCACTGTGCTTTGCGAAGTAGTGCGAGCAAAGATTCCTGATCCCCAGCCTAGCAGAAGGAAGAGCCCATGTGAGATCATGTCTGAGGGTGCATTACAGTACCGCAATGACAGAGGAAGCTGAGGGCAAGACAAATGGAGCTGAACATGTCGCCTTAGTGCAGACCTAGAGATTCACATTAAGCTTTAAACCACTTGCTTCCCAATAGAGGAATTATAGGGCCAGAGGTGTCTTTGTACCAGCTGTGGGAGGACTGACTTTACAGCTCCTGTTGAACAGATCAAGAGACCAGTGCAGAATAACCCTGGAAAGGGGCACTTCATTTCGTCCCTGTGCTGAGCATATACGTGTCCCCGGTCACTCACTCGAGTGCCGTTATTCACAGTGGCGGCAAAAAGAAGAGGGTTGCCAGGGGTGATCAGGACACAGGGGGAAGAGTGGAGTTGCGGCACACAGGGAGGTGAAAGGATGGAGTTGGTCTTTTTTGGATCAGAGAGGATGGTGAATGGGCCGAAGAGACAAACCGTGCTAGGGATGAAAGAATAGATGGAGGGTTTAATAGGTGGAATATTGTGTGTGTGTGTGTGTGTGTGTGTGTGTGTGTGTGTGTGTGTGTGTGTGTGTG